CATCTCTCATACCTGCATCGAGGCGCCATCTTTGCGCATGTCAGTATCTGGTACACACACAGACACAGAGAGAGAGAGAGACACGCACACACGCACACACACAGAGAGAGAGAGAGAGAGAGAGAGAGAGAGAGAGAGAGAGAGAGAGAGAGAGAGAGAGAGAGACGAAAAAATACAACAAAAGAGGAGGAAGCGAGGGAAAGAGAGACATAGGCAAACTTTTTTTTTTTTTTTTTTTTTTCAAGACATGCGAGCCATAGCTACACGGTGCACCCTTGTCTTGACTCGTGCCACTAGCGATGGCAGAGTCTTGACCGCACTCTCCCTCTGCCACACATCCACGCCCACACACACACAGACTCTTGCCCGCACACTCTTTGTCACACCCACGCACGCGCACATACATACAATCTCTTTCTCGCTCTCTTTCTGACACACACGCACACATATAGACAAACAGACAAACTTCGTCCCATCTGTGTGTCTGTATGTGTGTGTGTTCTATGTGTGTGAGAGAGAGCCTGAGCGAGCAAGAGTCTGTGGTGTGGCGATGAGAGAGAGAGAGCGACAGACAGACAGACAAATGAGAATGAGCTTCCCGCTAGAACATGGTTAAATGCGCCCACCACGTTTTCTCATATTTCGACAGCGGTGTGGCGATGCCCATGGACCGCCCGCACCACGGACCGAGCACTAAACACTGGTGTGCCTGCATCTGACCGTGTTCTAGCGAAAAGTTCGTTCTGACCCAAAACGATTCCAAAATAAAAATTGTCTTTTTTTGTCGTTTGTTTTTTCTTTTGTCTTTTTTTTTTTTTTTTTTCCGGACCGACACAAAAAAATGCAAATTCACCGAAAAAAAGAAAATCGAAAAGTTTTTTTTTTTTTTTGTTTCGAAAACAAAACGTAAACAAAAGGCAAAAAAAGCAAACAAAACGACACGCCAGCATGAGAACTATATAAAAAAAAGAAACAATATAAATTAAATAAGTAAAAAACAACAATACGAAACAAAATGACAAATGCTTTTTTCTTTTTTAGAATATGAAAGACAAAAACAAAAAATAAAAAAAGGGGGCCGTACACAAACCAACACGGAAATGCTATCCGACGGCAGGCACGTCAAGATATTCATCCGCATCGACGCCCGCCGTGTACCCGGCCCCGTGGGCGCGCTCTCTCGTTTAGTGGCGCGCTGCGAACAATTCGGTACGTGCGCCACTCTGCACGCCCACCGGCCCTCGATCGTCTTCATCCGCCGGCCCGCACCGAAACTTCGACCCGATTCTGGCGCGCAGCGGACCATCGACCTCCCCCCCGGGTTAGGATAAGCTGTTTTCCTCAAAAAACAAAAAAGAAGAAGATATCATCCGTGAACTGACTTGCCCCAGGTTTTATTCTCTTCTTCTGAGGATAGCAGGATTCGAGCTTGAGTCTGTATTTCAACAGTTCAGTGTGGACCAACTGAGCTGTCTTCGTTTTTATGCGGTCGAGGCTGGGAAGGTTCGAGTATCGCCGATTTTTTGCAAATCTTCATTTCCCGCTCGAGCGCGCGATCATCTAGTCCCCCCAAATTTTGAAATTCGACACACGAAATCGGCCGGTACAGTATCTTACCGTTGGATGTACGAGTGAAGGTGAATTCCCTCGGGTAGAAACGACATGTGACACGCGCGTTCTGACGCGCCACGGAGGAATCCTTCCGCCTTGCAGAGTATGGCCGCGGCACATCTCGGTCGGGCGTCAATCCCAAGGATCAACGGCCAGAGACCGGAGAATCTGGGTTAGTGGGACTTCGCCCATGGGGATTTCGATGCTTACACGGAGCGGCATGTGCGGCTATGCAGGGCGTAACATAGTAGCGATGGCTGCTTCTTTTTTTTTATATTTTATATATAGCTGCTTCTTTCCTTGCTGCTTGGAGCAACCGTGTCTCTGATATGCCGAATTGCAAACAGCGACAGATGACTTTGGGAGGAACACGTCTCGACCTCCTCTCTCCTCTTCTGTCCGTGCTATCATCATCGCATTGCAGCTCCGTTCATGATGGGGAAGCCAATCATAAAGCAATGCAGGGTTTGCCTCCGACCTGGCATTTTTGACGAGCCGTTAGCTGCCCCTTTTTTCAGCCGATGATGCATGAGGAGCGGCATTTTTTTCCCCCTTTTTTCACCATGCCTCTGGCTACCTATCCTCTCGCTCTAGTCCTACTTCTCTTTTTTCTTGAATTGTTGAAAATCGTTCAGGCGGCTGTGTATAGTTAGCCGGTTTTGCTCGGTGCATTGACGTCACCTCTTCCGTATGCTTGAAAGTCAGCCTATGTGTTGAGAAAGGGCACTCCTCTGAATGCAAGGCAGGGGTACTTCTTGGTGGTCGAGTGATGAATGGCGTCAGCAGCGAGCGAGTGAGGTGGATGGATTGATTGCCTGATTAATACATTGATTGCCTGATGAATACGGAGAAAGTAGCTGGCGACCTACCGGTAGTGAGCGACTTGAACTCGCGAGCGAGGGAAAGCAAGGACGAACAGTAGAACTCTGCAGTTACTTCCACTGCTGCAGCCTGCTGATTGAAGTTCCAGATTGAATGAGATCCGAGTGATGAAATCACGATGCTATAGTGTGAATCTACAATCTACGTTTTCAATCGCTTGGATCCGCGCGAGCAGGTAATTACGATGGCGATATGGTGATGTGAGAAGCGCTCTCTCTTCTCTGTTGCCTGCGGGGACAGAAAGGCTGCGAATGAATGTACATTTTGCGTGGTGTCCGGTGGTTTGTGGATCGGAGGATTTAGCCAACGAGGGTAGAGAACGCCGTGAAAAAATTTTCAAAAGTTTTTTTTGTAGTCGGTAAGAGGAAGATGGCGTGGGAGCTCAGCAAGGAGAACGTGAGACCAATGAAGCACGGGCGCGACGTAGAGTGTTTGAACTCGGTTCTGGAGGCGCAGGAGAAGAACCCTATCTCGCTGGCGAGCAAGCTGGAGGAGGAGAGGAAGGGCTTCGTTGCAGCCATTGCGAATTACGACGGCGACGACCCGCTAACGCCTTGGCTTGCGTACTTGAAGTGGGTGACCGACAAGTTCCCGTCTGATGGAGTGAAGGCCCAGAAACTGCCGATACTCGAGGAATGTGCGCGGAAGTTTCAGCTGGACGAGCGCTACCGCTCAGACTTTCGTTACCTGTACGTGTGGGTGCAATACGCCGCCTGCGTGGATGATCCGACGGACATCTTCCGGTTTCTGGAGGCCAACGAGATCGGTCATCAGCATGCGCTGTACTACGAGGCGTACGCGGTCCATTGCGAGACGAAGAGGTCGTACGACCGCGCGAGGGAGATGTTTGAATTGGGTGTGGCGAGGGAGGCAGCTCCTGTCGAGAGGCTGAAGACGAAACTGGAGGAATTCATGCAGAGGATGGCGATGCGAGTGAGAAGGGATGTGAGGAAGATGGAAGAAGCGAGAGCGGCGGCCAATTCATCTCTTCCTCCTAGTAGCGGCGGCGGCGACGAGGAGTTGTCACGCTCGTTTGGGAACTCGATCGGGGGGGGAGGGATCTCCGCGTCGCGTTCTTCGGCGGCGGCGCGCACTCGATCCCTCCAAACTAATGGACAGCGCTCATCTCATCATCATCATCATCATCATTTTCAGCAGCAGCAGCAGCAGCAGCAACAGCCTCCTCGCCGACCCGCCTCCCACGGTCTTGGCTCCGCGAACGTTATGACGAGAAACAACAAGGTTCTGCAGGTGTTTGAGGATGGAGGCCAGCCGCTGCCGTCCTCGCGGGTTGCAGAGACTGATTGGATGGGAGGAGGAGCTAAGCCGAACACTACGGCAGCTACAGGAGCAGCAGTAGCAGCAGCAGGAGGAGGCGGAGGAGGAGGAGGAGGAGGAGGAGGAGGAGGAGGAGGGGTTTCTAACGACGGGCATTGGGACAGACTGAGTAAGGTAGCTGATGCGAGAAAAGAGAACTCGCAAGAGCCTGGCAAATGGACATCGGCCAGAATTCCTCAGAAGAAATCACTGGCGTTGTCAGCACAGGCGAGAGGAGTCGCGGCTCTCGAGGTTTATTCAGATCCGGACATGGATACAGGCGAGCAGCATCAAGTTGGGGGGGGAACCACAGGGTTGGGCACGAAGAAGAAACAGCCTCCGACTATGGCGTTCCGACTGCGAGAGGTGGAAGGAGGCGGGGTGGTGGTAGGCGAGGGGAGAGGGGTCTCGCTGGAGCTGGAGGAGCTTCAGAAAAACCCTTTGAAGCATTTCTATGAGCCCGTGCCTCCTCCCGGGTTGGAAACCAGAAGATGGAGCAAGGCATCCGCGGAGAGTGGGCGGCAATGTGTGTCCGCCACACGCCAAAGCGCGAAGGGGAATGAATCGCAGTCTGACGAACCAGACGGAATGATCGGTGGTTCGTCAAAGCAGAAGGCGGCTTGTCTCCTCTTATCCGCAGCAGGCCATGATGGTGTCAATACGGCGGCGGCGGCGGCGGCGGCGACTGAAGCTCCGTCTTCTGCCCTCTCTTCGTCCTCTTCTTCAGGTCCTCCCTCTGCACCTGCCTCGTGTGGACCCGTTGCGTCTTCTTCTGTATCTGCCCCATCTGTACCACGCACCTCTGTGCCCCAACCCGTAGTAGTTGCCTCTCCATCTACTGCCTCTGCTCCCCCCCTTCTGTGCCCTGCTGTTTCTACCACTACCGGTAGTCCGTCATTGTCGTTAGCTCTGGCGGCGGCGGTTGCGATGCCGGCGCCGCCAGCTCCCCCGCGCCCAAGCGCTCCAGCCGCCGCCGATGATGACATTGGCCAGGGGATCTCTTCTAGATCCTGGGGCTGCGAGCCATCGCTGTTCCTTCAACCGCTAGCTCTCTCGTTTGAGGAATACCGATGGATGATCGCGGCGCAGCGGCAAGCCGGAAAAGCCGAGAGTGCTTCAGCCGATCAGTTCGTCGAGATGGATGCACGACCATCGTCGTCGGCGGCGGATGTTGTCGCCGCCGCCGGTCGTCTTCCTCCTTCGTGGTCCGCAGGCTGGGGGGGACCCCGATCGTCTTTTGTCCCGACCTTGCCGCGTCAGTGTGCAGACAGAGGGGTGCTGCCGGGAGAGGAGGATGTGCTCTCGTCGTCGGCAATCAAGGAGCCCAGACTTGGGGTAACATCGATGATGATGCCCCCGTGTAGGGAGGAGGGTGCTACCGATAGGGCCGCAGCTTTCGCAAGACCAGGTCTGTCGAACGGTCGCCTGTCGGAAGCCAAAGCGGCGATTGCGAGCCCTGGACAGGGGAAGCAGGGAGCGCGCCCGAGCACGGCAGCTGATGCAGACGCGCCAGAACGGCTGGCTACGGCCGCCGCCGACGCTGCTGCTTTGAGTGCCTCAAGCGATGATGGCCTCGATGGCGAGCCGACTGAGAATCCCTGGGTGGATCGGGTTGCTGACGTGGCGGCTCAGGCGGCGGACGTCACTCAGTCCATTACGCAGATCATCGATGCTACCGAGTTCAAGTTTCTCCGTGGACCCTTGATGGGGTTGCCCAAGAAGGGCCGACGAAGAGGGGGAGATGACAGTGATGAAGACGAAGAGAGCGATGAGGAAGTCGACGATTGTGATGAGCCGCTCGACGGCAAGGTCCTCGCTAGTCAGACGGACGCATGCGACCGAACGGTCTTTACTCGGAAGGCGGTCGATGACATCCTGTCTATGTTTACCGGCGACATGCCTCACGTGACGGGTAAGGAGAGAGGGAGGAGAGGAGGGAGGGCACCTGGGAGAGCGAGACGAGGAGGCACAGCAGGAGGGGGGGGACTGGGCCTTGGTGGTGGCGGCGGCGGCGGCGGGGGTGGTGGGCCCCTAAGTGTGTTCACCGACGAGGAGCCTGAAATTGCTCGTCCTGAAAGAACGACCAACAGCAGGCCATCCCTGTTGAGCAAGAATAACTCGCAGGGAAAGAAGATGGCGTTTGAGGTTTTTCAGGACGATGGAGGGGATGATGAACCCGAGAGAGCGAAGGGAGGGACATCAGGAGGAAGGCGGCTGGGCCTTGGTGGTGGTGGTGGTGGTGCCAGCGGTGCTGGTGGGCCCCTAACTGTGTTTACCGACGAGGAGGAGCCTGAAACGACTCGTCCTGAAAGAACGACAAACAGCAGGCCATCCCTGTTGAGCAAGAATAACTCGCAGGGAAAGAAGATGGCGTTTGGGGTTTTTCAGGACGATGGAGGGGATGATAAACCCGAGAGAGCGAAGGGAGGGACATCAGTAGGAAGGCGGCTGGGCCGTGGTGGTGGTGGTGATGGTGGTGGTGCCAGCGGTGCTGGTGGGACCCTGACTGTGTTTACTGACGAGGAGCCTGAAACGACTCGTCGTGAAAGAACGACAAACAGCAGGCCATCCCTGTTGAGCAAGAATAACTCGCAGGGAAAGAAGATGGCGTTTGAGGTTTTCCAGGACGATGGAGGCGATGATAAACCCGAGAGAGCGAAGCTAGGGACATCTGGAGGAAGGCGACTGGGCCTTGGTGGTGGTGCCAGCGGTGCTGGTGGGCCCCTTACTGTGTTTACCGACGAGGAGGAGCCTGAAACGGCTCGTCCTGAAAGGACTACAAGCAGCAGGCCATCCCTGCTGAGCATGAAGAACCCACAGGGAAGGAAAATGGCATTCCAGGTTTTCCAGGACGATGGAGGCGATGACGAGGATGAACGGGTGGGCGAGCGCGGGGCGGGAACAAGCGAGGTCGGGGTTCTGCAGCGAGGCCAAGGAGGAGGCCAAGGATGAGGATGAGGAGGAGGAGGAGGGAGAGCTGCGGACTCGATGAACAAGGAACGGTCGTCCGGTTCGATGTCACTTGCAAAAGGCGGTGGATTGTTGTCGTTGCGAGCTGGCAGCGGCGGTGGGCGCCACGCCACGTGTCGCCTTGTCGCCGCTCTTCAGAGAACCAGCTCATCGCTTCCAACCGAGCGGGTTTTGCCTCTGCTCGTGCTGCTGGGTCTGCTGCAATCGCATCGTTTGGTGATAGTGCGCGATCCATCTCCACCAAGTCCGGACGAGGGGAGTGCGCGAAGTTCACCGTGTGTGGCGACGAGGACGAGGAGAGTGGGCTGCAGGCGCATCGCCGACAGGAGGAGATGGGCAAGTACTCTGGTGGTGGGGGGGGCGTAGTAGATGACCTGCGTTCTGCAGGCTTTCTGGGACCACCACGAGGGTAAGTACTCTGGTCAATAGCAGTGCTTGCCCTGGGAAGATCGTTGTCTACGGTGATGATTCCGACGACGGGATTGGAGAACAAGTCTTACCTGCGGAAGACGAAAAAGCAGGACGGCGAGCGATGGGCCTCTCCGTTTTCCAGAATGATGCTGCTGCCGCTGCTGCTGCTGCTGATGATGATGATGATGAGGTCGAGCCGCAGAACAGTCGTGTGGGTGTCAAGGGAGGGGAGGGGAGGGGAGAGTGTGCAGGTGAGAGGGCGGACAAGAGGAGCAGCTTGAAGAATGCCTTTCGGGCGCACGACGCGTCAGGAAGAGGCCGATCTCGTGGAGAGCAATGGCGACGGTCGTTCGATTGCGAGAGGTACGGCAAGTGATGGAATTGCTGCGTCCAGGGGAGGGGGAGGGGGAGGAGGGGGAGGAGGAGGAGGAGGAGGGCGGTCGAGAGGCCTCTCCGTTTACCAGGAAGAAGTCGACGTGGAGGGGACAGGCGGCGGGCACAGTTTCCCTCGGATGCGAAGTGAGGGAGCTTCAGAGAGGGAGGGGAGAGGAGTTCTACAGCCCATGGGCCTCTCCGTTTTCCAGGTAGAGGTGGATGGGGACAAGGTGTGTGATGGTCGTTCGACTGGCACAGTCGGGAAGTTGGGCGGTGGGGGGGTACGGCAGGGGGATGGGGGGATACTGCCGAAGAGGGCGGGGTTGGTCCCCAGGGAGCCGATTGGTGGATTGATGATGCGCCAGGAAGCCAATCGCGAGGATGGTACCCTATGAGGGACGTGAAGGAGGTCTCTCTCTCTCTCTCTCTCTCTCTCTCTCTCTCTCTCTCTCTCTCTCTCTCTCTCCGTTTATCAGGAAGAAGACGATCCGGAGAACGTTGCCTAAGGACGTACTCCTACTACGGTAGCACTTTTTTTCCCTATTTCTGGACGGATCTCTCGATCCCATCCGCAAGCAATTCCCACCACAAGATCGCTTGAAGCAGTTGCTTGCTCGCGGTGTCGCACGTCCACGTGGAAGATGGAAGACGAGAGGAAGGCGATGGAAGGCGATGGAAGGCGATGGAAGGAGGATCAGCAGCATTCTTTTTGGGAGAGACAGACGCGAATCTGCTGACATGGAGGAGGTGGTGATCTGCGCGGCAGAGAACGCTAGCTGCCGTCTTCCCCAGAACACAACCCACCCTCTTTATGACTGTGTCGGGATGAAAAGATAGCTCGTATAGATTCGGGATTGGGGGTGCGTTGTGTTCGAGGGAAGACCGTAGTCGGTTTGTCAATCATTGTGTCATGGGGAAGAGGAAGAAGAAGGTAAGGAGGGGATATCAAAGAAGAAGACCTGCTGTGAGCGCGCTCCGGCACCGAGTGTGCACGAGTATCCGTGAGTGTATATAGTATAACCGGTGGGTGTGTCTGTGTTCAGACTGCGGATGTGTCGCGTGCGCGAGTGTTTGTTTCTGCGTACACATGGGTGTGCGCTTCCGATGCGAGTGCTTGCTGCCCCGCTGGGCGCGCCTCACTGCATACGTCCCGTCCCCTCACACAAAGACTTCTCCCAGTGAACCTGGCTGTGTTTTCCAGCCAGGTTCGTCCAGGAAAGTCGTCGTGCTTACTGTTGGTCTTATTCGACTGGAGTCTGGACCTTCTCACGTTTATAATGGAAGCCTGTTTTTTTTTTTTTTTTTTTTTTTTTTTTCTGCCTCCCTAGTACAATGCAGTGGATTTATGCTTCTCCTTTATTATGTATTTAATTGACCATATATAATAATATAATGCACTCCTTCTCTTGATCCATTGGCGGTCTGATCTCAGTGCATGCTCAGACTAGGGGCTTTCCCCGAATACAACGTACGATCATTATAGCTGAATTTGGTCTATCTTTCAGTCTAAATTCAGCTATAATGACCGTACGTTGTATTCGGGGGAAGACTGTAGGGGCTTTCCTAGATCTATGTGATGGCAATTACGGCCGGACCTGGATGTGTCTGACTGCAATTGCATCTAAATGAGTCTAAAACTGTGAGAGGGAAAAGTCCTTGTCTCAGTTGTCTGAGTATATGTCCTTAGCCCATAATAGTCTGTGGGATCCCATGGAGTCATTTGTTATTTGGATGGCCAATGCGCGTCATGGATCTCTCTCTCTCTCTCTCTCTCTCTCTCTCTCTCTCTCTCTCTCTCTCTCTCTCTCTCTCTCTCTCTCTCTCTCTCTCTCTCTCTCTCCCCCTTAGCTTTTTCCCTGACAGGAGCGACTACTCCACCATCTGAAGTATCTACACCGCCATCTACCTTTGTTTCTTCCCCAAGGTCAGAGAAGTCGTGAATCTCAGAGTAGCTGAACGAGTGAGGAAAGCAGGCAAGCGACAGCAGGGCCTTGGGAGGCGGCACCCCTTCTCCTGCTCTTTGGCCACTCGGTGCTTGTCAATGGAGAAAAAAGGATCACAAGTACTCTTCTTCTGTGTGTCTGATGGGAGGAAGGAGTGAGTTCCGTTGCCGTTGAACAGGCTGTGCTCGTCTTGATGGAAAGTAGGGGCTGATGGACCGATGTCTCGTCTTTGTGTGATGGTCGAATTCGCCGTACTATATTGCTAATGGATGGATGGACGTCCGGGGATCTCATACCGGATATCTGTAGAGTTCGATTGATTGCTGCTTGAATGCTTATCGTCGGAAGCAGAGGAAGCCCTTCTCCGCGAGACGAAGGTGCGCAAGCTAAATGGACAGTGTAGCTTTCGGTAGCACGTGGAAAGCTGCACCCCCCATGGTTCTGTCCTTTTCACATTTGGTGAGTGTTGTGGTGAGGCCCGAACACATGCGTATGTGTTCTTTATCCGGTTGTTGTTAGCTTGCGAGCATTGGCACTGCCTCACGCTTGTGCGCGCTCTCAGACTGTGACTTATTTCTGTGAGTTATTCTACTGGTCGAGGCTCAGTGCATCTGCCCTGGGGCAGGTCCGTTTCTTCTTCTTTTTTGCGTTTTGTTTTCTTTTGCCAGGGTGGGAGATAAATTCTCTTGGTTTCAACGGGATGCCGGTGTGATTTGCTCCGCCGTGCCGACATAGATTTAGCATTTGTGTCGATGTGTAGTTTGTTATTCTTTAGCTGAAAGAGGGACTGCGGATGAAGATCCTCCGGGTTGAACGGTGGCATTTGTTAATTAATTGTGGTGTGTGCTACATAGTCAGCAGATTGATGACGAAAGATGTGTTTTCACTTCTTCTAGGAGAAAGCATGTGAGGGATGGGTTGTAGTCATTTTGTGTGTTGTTGCTTATTCTCTGTGAAGATATTTGTGGCGCCCGGTGTGGTAGCGGTGTGGTGCGTGGATTTCATTTGCTCTGCACTGCAGAAGGCACATATCTGCAGTTGTGTGTGTGCGGATGAGGTTGTAGGAAGAAGCTAAACGTTTTTTTTCTTCTTTCTTTTTTAAAGAGGAAAGAAGCCAGATGTGTGCAAGGCGTATGCGATTTTCGGCATGAGGAGGTTACGTTGAGCAGAAACTTGGGCATTGCAAAGAGATGTGTTTCAAACTCAGCGAGCCAGATGGGGGCTTGGCTTCGAAGCAGTGCTTCGAAGGCTTTGTTAAAGCACCAGTACACCACACATTCACCCGCGGGTGTCAGCATGAAACCCGCACCACTTCAGAGGCTGCCGATTGTTTTTTTTCAACGGCACCCCACGGGGCGCGGCCCGAGTTTTGCTTGTGGCGACAAAAAACTTTCTGCAAGGCTGGGGCCGTGTACTTGCGGTTTAATTGATTGGTTCTTTCGTTCCTTAATTTATGCAACGGATGGTCCATCTTTCTGTTGGTGGGGACTGCTTCCTTGTTTCGTTTGTTATTTTTGGTAATCTGATCATTTTTGCTTATCTGATCATTTCTCTTCCTCCACCTTCCCCCCCCCTGCCCTTCTTGTGCCCCAGTGCCTGCTCCTCATCTGGGGTGCCTTTTTTTTTTTTTTTTTTGCCTTTCTTTGGTTCTCAAGAACTCCCGTTTTTTTTTTGGCTGTTTATTTGCCTCTTTTTTTTTCACTTCTTTTCTTAAATGTATTTGATCAGTTCCCACTGTCCCCCTCCCCCTCGCCCCCCACTCCTACCGTTCAATGCTGCTGCCCATCTTGAAAGGCTTTCTCTGGTGCTATCTTCCTGCATCAGCCAATCGCAGCAGGAATTGGCTGTCACCTCTCCCCGAAAGCCTTAGACTGCATATGACGGATGCATTGCAGTGGGGTGTGCCTCGGAGGTCAGTTATCATTCGCAAAGTGTGGCCCTCGCTGCACTACTCAACATTCTATGTGCACTTGAATGCCTTTCTCAACCAGGTGCATTCGGAGGAGTCTAACATTTGGAATGTGTATCGGGAGGATTATGACCTCCAGACACATATGGTTTGTTGCGTAGTGGAGCGAAGCCCTGTGTCATTTGTCCTCTAGTTGCGTATCTCTGCGTATCATACGTCTGCTGTGCACCGGCGGGCGTAGCTCAGTTGTCCTCTAATTGCGTATCTCTGCGTATCGAAAGTCTGCTGTGCACCGGCGGGCGTAGCTCAGTTGGTGCACACCATGAACTGTTGAACTACACATTCCTCAGTTTCAGATCCAAGAGAAACTGGAACTGGTCGGTCTGAAAATGATATCTCTCGGCCGTAGCGCTTTCAAAATGAGGATG